AAAATGTTCATTGTGGTAAACGAAATAATAATTTCATCTAAGTAAGAGTTTTTCTTCCAGATTTCTAAAAAAATTCCTTACGTGATAAAAAAGAAAATAATATTATTTTCGAACTCTGCGTAGATGAATTATGGAATATGGGTTAGTAGAACCAAAACAACTTTTATGAAGTTTAAATTCGCAGGCTTGTGTAATTAATTAGCATCCCTTACTTATATTTGAGCTGACTTGTGAAATTTTAATATGTATACATTGTTTTTCTCAACAGTATCAGCCAGGTTCGGCTTATAATGTGTTGTAATCTACAGGCTGCAGCACCTAAGGATCAACTGAGATCGGTTCGTTTGTTTTCCATATCCACGATACTTAAGACTTCAGTAGTATCATAATCATAACTTGTACATATTAAACTTTTAACTTGTTTTGTTTCACTAATTTCGTGTCTTTTGAATAAGTAAAAATGCACGTTAATTACTGTTGCTCTATAAAACAAGTTCCTTCTTCAAGTTTTATAATGATATATAATATACGTATATGTTGTTGTTTTTTGGTTTTGATGGGTTTGCTTTTATATGTTGCCTTGAAGAGAAAAAAAAACTACAGTTAATCATGATATTATCGTAGACTTAGTACAGAAAAACAGGAAAAAAACATTTACGATTTGCAAAGGAACAAAAACTTGTCCCAGTCGTTAGAAAGTAATTTTCCTTGTGGTAAAACTAGTTACCTCTCACCAGTTCCAGGAACTAAGAGAAGAAAAACGAAACTTTTTTAAAGCTAATGTATGTTACACCGTCATACGAATAAGATAATTTATGCTTTAAGTTTTACAATTTTAAATGACACGGCAATGTAAAAGACATTCATATGAGAAAACCTTTTGTACATAGTATTTGTCAATTCAGTAGAAATATATATATATATATCAGTTCAGAATGTTTAGCGTTTCTTTATTTTAAATATAGATAAATAAGAAATATACGATAAAAATAATTTATAACCAATTTTCAAATTATTTTAATGGGGGAATAAATAGTTTATGTAACAAATATCCAGTGTATTCAAACTAAAAGCAATGTAGCACAGGCGTCAGAGCAAGGGGTGCAAGGCCCTCAACTTCAATGCAGAGAGCCAACACCCACTTCGACCCACTATACGTTTCGATAGATTAACAATTTCTCCAACTTGAATCGAGTTTTTGGTCCAAATTAATGACTCGCCATGAACACATAAAGATTTTAAAATGAATTTGGAAGCTAAAGACAAAGAGTAGGAAAGATAAAATTAAGAGAACACAAATATAAGTTCATATAAGTTGGTCATTACACTTCTTATTTTCACATCACTACAGTTTGAGCTTTTTTTACCTGATTTTCATCGTATCTTGGACTGCACTTCATAAAAACAGGCCTATATTGTCACTCTAATTGTAAAAAAATTGGGGGGGGGGGCTTTTCCCAAGGTCCCTATACCTTCCGACTGGCAGGCCCACTTTTGATAACATTGATTTACTCTCGACTTTTGCATTCTCTCTGTAGCTTTTGCTTACTACGACTATCCTTGGATATCATGATCGGACGTTGTTTTAAGTAAAAACAGGGACGATAATATTTTCAATTAAGGATTTTAAAATTTTGAATACGAAAAATCTACATATTATCCGTAATTTCGTACGTACTTATATATCCAAGCAGACAAGGTGTGTTCTCAAAAGTGTTCTGTTTCAAAAGTAAATAAAACCAAAATTAAGAGTGGCAAATACCTTTATTTCTTGTTTTTGAACTTCATATATCATGCTATGTTGTAGCCAACAGAGTGCATAATTATTCTCGTGATTCAGGGCATGCGCACGTTTTAATGATGCCACAACAATACAAATTGCAACATTAAGCGTCCCTTATGTGACATCATTTTAGTGTCTACTAACTGACTAACAGACAACACACTACTGTATAGTGGTGTGAGGTGACCCCTCAGGAAAATTAAGTATAGAATATAAACAAAAAACAGGACTACAACACGCTACTTATGCATCAAGCTGTACAGCGAAGTTAAAATCTTAAAAATATAAAACGATTGGAGAAAGATGTCGATGAGAACAAGAGGGGGAGAGAATAATGAGTCAATTTTTATGCTTTTAAAAATCTAGCAATTCTAGAAAGGGTGAATTAGAAAATATTTATGATTATTTAGGAGAATCAAATGTAAGTATGGGATGAGACAACTCGAGATCAGTAGAATAACTTCAAAACCAAGAACGAAATAGTACACATAACATTTCGACTCGGCATTATTAAGTGCTATGTGCCATTTAAAATTGTACAGTAAATGTTATTAATCAAACCTATAAGTTGTTGAAATCGTGCAAGTCTTAACAGTATGATAGATAACTGACCTGTCTCTTTAGGTAAGCAGTGGACCACGTCTACGGTCATTAACTGCATTAATGTAGTTAATTAACTCTTGAAATTTGTACAGGTTACAATTTTATTTACTGCATACCAAGAACAGTAGGTAACCGTTGACAACCACTCCCATAAACGTTAATCTAGTCAAACTCTACCTCAAGCACGAGCTATACGTGTGGAATAAATAGTGTAGTAGTGAAATACAGGTGGCAGGCTGATCAGGTGGTTGGTTCACGGCTTCAGTTTCTGATGGCTGCAATGTTTATGCTCGCTAGACCAAGTTGGGAAGACTGGTCTAAACGAATAATTGCCCCCCCCCCCTCATAAGCTTGTGTGCTTATAAAGCTGTAAATCGGTTTTCGATCCCTGCGGTGGATAGACCGCAGATAGACCATTGTGTAGTTTTGCGCTTAAATACAAGCAAAATGAATAATTATCTTTTTTGCAAAACACGAAGAAATGAGTTCTAATACCTCATACAACAACACCTTGCATCGTGCAATGTTGAGAAATATTTTACTATTATATATTGTGGAATTAGAACCTAAACGGAGTATTATTGGTATCCGAATTATGTTCCAGCCACGCACGTGAAGATAATTCAAATCTAGCGTCCTACAGGTGACTTATCAGTGGCACTATCCTAAAGCATGTAGAGATATTATCGGATCAATTTAGAATTTTTTCCGTCATTTTAGTGCGCGGTTTATTCGTTCAAATGGGCCTCCTGTATCTTCTCCTCGAAAGAAAAAAGACGAGATACAGAATCAGTGTATCAAGGAGATTCTAGAAATATATCTATAGCCTCTGCTGTGAAATGTGTTCGACTTTGGAGATACCAGCGACCTCCAGGGACCGAGTGAGGCGTGTTATCTTCACCCCCCTCCTTGCAAACACACGGTGTATCCCGCCACATACATGGTCGCTACTGGTGACCTCGACTGCTTCGCACACACCACGTAGAACTGTGGAAAACAATAAAACTAAAACTGATACTTACGGCTTTTATATTCAATCAAAGATCTATGTATCGGGAAGTATCAAATATCCAAAGTTTTGTGTTCCATAAGTATAAAAACAAAGGCTGAGAAAGAGTTATACAAAATTTAGAACTAAAAATATCGGTGTGACATACGTACAAATCAAATATATATGTAAATACACACCGAAATACATGCATGTGTAGCTTCATATATATACAAAAGGGGTTTAATATTTAGTAATACTATTTCGAGTTTCAGCTGTCTGCCAATGAGGTAAGATTGTCTAAAAACCTGATTAAAAGTGGTACAACATGGTTACTGATTTTCAGGTTTCTATCATACCATAAAAAAAAAGCAAGTTATCTCTCCGAACGTGCATATACAACGTCAATCGCCACGAGCGAGTTCGTTTACCTAAAAATAAAATATTTCCATGCATCAAAATCACCATTATTTCCACTGCAAATCTAGCATTTTAAAGTGCTTAAGAAAACCCGCTGAAATTTTATAGGTGTCCACAACTATTTTGTAACAGTACGGATGTAATAGTTATTTGTATGTAAGCATTCACGGAACTAAACTTCGCGGCTAAGCGGTCAATTCAAATATAACAACCTGCCCCTTAACAACACACGTTACACGCTCGCACCAGGAAACACCACACGAAGAAACACGCGACGTACAAGAATGTTAAATTGTTACTTACTTATTGATAATAATCCTAATACCACCAGAAAGGCCATTGCTGTAGCGTGATTGTAATGAACACACACCAATGTAAGTTTCTAAAGTCTCACGTGTACCTAGTCTTGGTTGGATGTGGTAAGTTCTTGGATCGGGACACACTCGATCAGTGGATTGTGTAGAAGCTGCTCTAAACTACGTAGCAAGTTACTAACTGCACTTGTGGGAAGAGGTGGATGACGTCACGGAACTAGCACGATCAGCGTATATAATTGGCTCTTGGAGTTTTACAATTAAACGAGTTTACTAATACGCTTGTTGCTGAAGTGTCATTTCAAATTGATACCGTTGAAGTCAATAAGACAAGATATTCTTATTAAATTACAAAATGGATGACTACTTATAATTAACTTCGACAACATATAATCTGCATTAAATCAAAGTTATGGGGGCTTTAAGATATTTACTTGTGTGAAGCTGCTCGTTCATTGCAACCATTGAAACTCGAAATTTTAAGCAAACTTTGGTTCCGATGTCTATTATTCGTGTTCTTTAACTGGGTCTTCAGACTTGTGAATCGAGTTTTTTGGTCAGTAACTGGCGCCAGTGTGAAGTTGTATCACAGAGAAAGAAAACCATAAATTAGATGTACTATGCTATTTAACCCGTCTATAAGCTATCAGGATATTAACTAAAACATGACCGGACGAATGCCATTTTCTGTTTGGTTCACTGTCCTTTAAGCCACAAAAACTTCAACGGCAGCACACATATCGTGTCTCGTTTCGTATACAAAAGTGTTTCGTGGAATTCACGCTAGGTGTAATTAAAAAACAAAAACTATGTCATATAAAAATAGCAAGAAAGTTTGATATAAGAAAGCTAATTAATTCATTTAAAGTAGCGACAGGTAATGAGATAATAATTTTCTAATATTTGTTTTTGAGTTCAGCTCTGGTGTTTCGGTTACTGATGTTGAAGTTTTAACCAGTACGAAAAAATTATATAATTTTCTAAGCTTAGTTACTATAAAGAGGTAACACTAGAGTTTGATTTAGTATAGTATACTGTTACGTCTCCGTTTGTTATTTAATTTTCCGTAACTTTGTTCCGACGTAAATTTTAGCGACACAAGTCCTTACTTAAATAAA